GTGGAGTTTCCATTGAAGGGTCGAGGTGATAGTAAGTCCAAGGCTTTTGACTGATGATGAGAATGGAATCTCAACATCATCAACCTTGAGCCTGGACAATGAGTTTAGGTCAATAGCGAGGATGTGAAGTTCGCTACCAACGATCATGACCTTTGTTTTGGCGACGTTGAGTTGGAGACCGTTTGCTCGCGCCCAATCCGCCACCGCCTGTGCATCTAATTGGACCTTCTCAAGCCCCTCAACAATCTAGGAAGGGACGCAGTGATGGTAAATCTGAGTATCATCAGCATAAATTAGGTGCTTGCAGAAAAAAAGAATTCGTGGGAGGTCATTAATGAAGATGGCAAACAGTAGCGGACCAAGGACGCTTCCCTGCGGGACACCCGTCCGGGCACGCTCCCACCGCGAAACAGTGTCCCCATGGTCAATGACAGCTTGCACCCTGTCGACAAGATAGCTAAAGAACCATCGTAAGACGGAGTCACCAACGTGACAAGCTCTGATCTTATTAATAAGCAAGTCATGTGGAATTCCGTCGAAGGCCTTTGAGAAATCAAAAAGGACAAGGATGGTAATTTACCTCATAACAATGGCAAACCTCATGTCGTCAAGGACGCCCACTAAAGCAGTCTCAGTAGAGTGTCCCCTACGGAAACCAGCCTGTCTGGGATCCAGAAGGTCATTAGCTTCCAAGTGGTCAGAGAATTGTCGGTGCAATATTCGTTCAAGGATTTTTGAGGGTTCGGACAACTGCGCTATGGGCCTAGTATCAGAAGGAGACTGGGGTGATCTGACCTTAGAAAGAGGACGAATAAGGGTGCGCTTCCACGTAGCTGGGAAAGTAGATGTTTCAATGGACTTGTTATATATTTCAGTAAGTTTGCAGGCTACGGTGTCAAGTCCAAGGAGAAGCATCCCTCCCGTAAGTCCATCACAACCCCTGCCCCTAGAACGCAACACCCTGATCTCGCTCTCAACATCAGATTGTTTAATTTTTGAAAAGACAAAAGGAGGAAAAGTAAAGGTGATATGCAAGGGGGAACTGCAGATATTGTCAAATGTAATGAGGATTAGGGCTGGAGATCTGTTGACAACTGTGGCAAAGTGTTTATTGAGTTCGTGAGCTGAGAAAAAGAGCAGTGGTGACGGTAGAAGTCGATTGGTTAGGCCGATGTCACGGAAAGTCCTCCACTTGGATTTGGAGCTATTGGCGTGTTCAATGTTATTACGGATGTGGTTATTTTTCTCAGTATCGAGCTCGTTTGAAATGGCAGTTCTTAGGGAGCGATATTATTGAAGGGCTAAGGATGAGTTGGAGGCTCGAAAGCGTTTGTAGGCTGCGTCACGGATCCGCATTTGGACACGCAGCTTATCAGTCACCCACGGCTTCTTTTTGGAGGAGATGGTAACCAGACGAGAAGGAGCAAGTTCGTCAAAAGCTCCACAAACCGCCAGGGTGAAAGTTCGCTCAAGTTGATCGACTAAGGGAGTGTCTCGACGAAGAAAATCACCCCGGTAATCCCGGGAGACCAAGAACTTGGTGGTGATGAGAGAGTTCAGGACAGATTTATCAAGACGATGGAGAGAGCGGGAGGCAAAGGTTTTAGGTTGTTCTTGGGGCGAGGAAAAAAGTATGGAAAGCTCAATTAGGTCATGATAAGGTACAAATGGGGAGAGAGATTTGGTGAAGCTAAGAATGTGAGTTGAGGGATTTGTTATGAAAAGATCCAGCGCTGTATGTGTGGTCACTCCACTCTCAGTAATAGGATGGTGTGTAGGCTCGGTGGAGACAACCCTAAGTGCGTGTGAATCGATCAGATCACGTAATGCCAGGACGCGAGGAAGATGTGATGTAAGGTCGGAGTTGAAATCACCAGTGATAATGACATCATTGAAGAAAGGAAGAAAGGAAGAGATGGTGTTGAAGAAAAATGATGGGATTTTGGCGGATGGACGGCGGTAGACAACTGCAAATAAAAGTTTTAGGTGGCTTTTATTTTGGATTTCGGCTATCATGAATTCAGGTGAGTTGTTAAACGTGGGATCAGAGGCAGCGAGTAATTTTATTGTCAAACTATTGCGGCAATAGAAGCCAACTCCACCACCCTCCTTGCCCTCGCGATCCAGTCGGAAAAAATTATAATCGGCTAGAACGAGGTGGTCATCAGAGATGACATTACAAAGTTTGGTTTCGGAGATGGCAATAATGTCATATGAACTTGTATGTGCCTGTGCTTCAAGGAGAGAGAAATGCCACGGTACGTTTAGGCCGTTTATGTTGATATGCGCAACGGTGAGGGAAGATCGAGATGGGATGGAGGAGGTAACAGAATTATTTAGTGGGACCGTTGAACGTCATGAAGTTTGAGCTGGGTTAAGGGTTGGCGACTGTGAAGAGGAGGCAGATAAAGTGAAGCTTGGTGTATTTGCAAGCGGTAGGATATGAAGATCAGAGCGAGGAAGTCGGAGATCGTGATGGGCACCGCTAAGAGGAGCGAAAGGCGCGGCCGAAGGGTGAGGGTGGTCTGGGGCTCCCGCTGAGCATGCGACAGGTTGGCGAGATGCCAGCCTCGGCAGACCACGCAGGTCAGCCTCCGAGACAATAGGAATGAGCTCCGATTGCGGCGTGGCGCGGCAGAAGACCCGCAAGTTTCGCACCACAGGCCACGCGTATCCGAGGTCATCACTCATTCTTCTGGCCTTGGATAGCAGCTCGAAGACAGGCTTGGGGTAGATTGGACGCAGTAGGACTCGTAAACCACCTCTACAGCCAAAGATCGTCTGGGCAGTATGCCCCTTCAGTCTCGACGAAAACTTGATGATTCTGTCCTGAGAGGATGGCGAGTCCAGCAGGAAGGTGAAGGACTTCCTTCGTGCACCTTGGCTCGAGTGAGAGAAGGACTGCTACTGATTTGTGGGCGCAGTAGAGCGAGAGGCAGTGGTGGGATTCTACTCCCTTGTCGCAATAATCGCAGGGAGGTTGTGCTCTCCACCAAAGCCCAGCGCAATGAGGACAGAGGTAGCGGCCTGGAAGAGGGAACCTTGAAATTCCGCTGGTAACCCATGGACCAAGATTTCAGGCTCGACGACTATTGCGAAATGGACGTCACGCTCGCGAAACTCATCCTGCGTTTTAGTCCAGAGTCCGCACAGTCTCTCAAAGCGCAGAATTAAGTTGCGCTTCCTTCGCATGCCGCTCCGCGTTAAGCTGCGACTCCCTGCGAAACCACTCAAGTGCCTCAGACATTGCCGAATAATCGATGTTCCGACCTTTAGTCGGAGGTAGCTCAGATCTATAGGCTTTGGTGATCGGCAGCAGTGATGGCTGAGTTGGTGAGGCAAGACGTTTCCTGGCGTGTGCAAAAATAGAGGGGGAGTGTCCTGTAAGCGTAGCAAAGATATCCAAGACGGTATTGGCTAAAGTTGTATCAACGTTCGGCGAGCGGTTGAGGCAGCAGTTAAATTCTGCAGAGTTGTGATTGGCTGGTCTTGAGTTGGGTGAAATGTAAAGGTTATGGTACAGGGAATTACAGGAGTTGCAGAGGAGGAGTTGATCAGGTCGTCGCACGATCAATCCACACTTGGCACACACGCGGCTTGACATAAATAGGCGAGATAAGTTTAGAAAGAAATGAAGTGCCTATAATAATTTGAATGTTCACGGGCAAATTCAAGTAGCGCGGATGCGCACGCAACCAACCAGCTATGATAAACTCGGTAAAATGACCTCTACGGAGGAAAAGCGAATTATCACAGAGGGTGTGGCGGGAAAATCAAAATGCGCGTGAAGATGATGCTCGCAGTAATGAGGTACGCGAAATAGAGATTAGGGGGAAAATTTGGCGCGGAAAATTCACAAGATGACGTAACCCGACTTAAATATACGTTACAACTTAAGATTAAAATGAATGATTATGAAAATGACGATAAAGATGAAGATGTGAATTACGCTAGATGAATCGAGGTGAGATGTAGTCTTAAAAATTAAAAACGATCGATTACAGGTTCGCAGTAATAACAAATAATAAAAGAAAAACGGACAATACAGAGTAGTGGAAAAATGTAGGCAGGACAAAATATTCCTCACTTAACCGACGAGAAAATAGTTGTTCTAGCGATGATATTCGTCGTTGGTAGAGCTAGAACGGCCAGGTAGGTGATGAGATGTCCTGGTGCAGTTGTGATACAGCAATTGATTTAGTTAGTAGAGTGACGTATGCAGTGTTGATTCAGGTGAAAGAGGTTAGGTGATGCTGGTTGCACAAGTAATGCAAATTCCAGGGCAGAATGCAAATAATTATGCATGAAACAGCGTACACTTGTTAGCCCCGTGGAAGATGCACTACCTGGAACAGTTTGCTCGAAAGTGTGATGCCAGATGATTAGATAAACTGTATTTGTTGAAGAGCCGTTGAAAAGATGCTGTGATGCTTACCAGAGAGAGAGAGAGAGAGGAGAGAAAATGCAGCACTTAATTTCGCCTCTCGATGGTCAATTTTTGCTGCTATTTCTCCTACTGTTTCCCGCAGATACTACTGCCGCTCGTGACTTACTACTGGGCGTTACTGCTCACCTCGGAAAAAAGTTGCGCGTGCGCCATCAGCTTAGATCTTTGCCGAGATCCTCACACGCACCGGTACCAGAATTTGACACTGGCTAAACGCGAGTCAGCCACAAAATACAACTCGCACTTTTGTGCACCAGGCGTCTATCCGTAAGCAATTACAAAATAACGCTCAACGAGGCCGCGCCTGATATAGTATATAATTTTTCTTAAATTTTTGTTTTCTTAGTAAGTTAATTTATGCCAATTGAGCTTATCTACTTTGATTTTACACTTCAACAATGAAAAAAAAAACTTGCAATACTGACTATGTTATATTGACTAACTCTTTTAATAACATGTAATTCGATTTTTTCATTCGTTCCGATTGTCACCCTAAGTCAGTACTTAAAATCATTGTTTTCTTACAATTTATTCTTTCATTATTTTTTTTCAGGTTTAATGTTCGTGGAACCAATGATGATGGACATGTAGCTAATTTTGTCGAAACAGAACAAATAATTTACTTAGATAATGAAGTTTCTTCTTATATACAAACACGTGGTTCTATACCCCTATTTTGGGAACAACCAGGTATTCAAGTTGGTTCTCATAAGGTAAAAATATCTAGAGGCTTTGAGTGTTCTGCTCCAGCATTTGATCGCCATTTTAAATTACTTAAAAACAGATACGGCAATCAAGTAATAGTGAACTTATTAGCATCCAATTTTACTAGCACTAAAGAAGGTGAAGCATTACTTAGTCAACTTTTTCAAGACCATCAAAACAGCTCAAATCATACGGATATGCCGCATATTCTTTTTGATTATCATCAAGAATGTCGCGCCGGAAATATAAAAAACTTAATGAAACTTAAAGATAAAGTATCTGTTTACATGGATGAATTTTCTTTTTTTCACTCAATTGGTCAAGAAATACTAAAGCTGCAAAATGGTACCATTCGTACTAACTGTCTTGACTGTTTAGATAGAACTAATTGTGTGCAAACATTTCTTGCATTAGAAATCCTACAAAAACAATTAATAGCCTTGAAACTTAACGAAAAACAACAAATTATTGCAAGATTTGATGAAGTCTTTCGTCAAATGTGGATTAATAATGGCAATGAAATCAGTAAAATTTATGCTGGTACAGGTGCAATTCAAGGTAGTTCGAAGATAATGGATGGTGCTCGTTCCGCAGCTAGAACAATTCAAAATAATCTTTTAGATTCAAATAAACAAGAAGCTATTGATATTTTACTCCTCGGATCGGCACTAAATACTGAACTAGCTGATAGAGCAAGACTGCTATTGTCACCAAGTATGTTACATGCTCCATCCAGTGTACTAAAAGAAATGTGTAAGAGACATAAAGATTACACAGATATAAAGAATATTAGAGTTGGCGTAGCTACGTATAATGTTAACGGTGGAAAACATTTTCGAAGTGTGGTTTATAAAGATGTAACTCTATCAGATTGGCTACTTGATGCTTATATTAAATCATCAAGTAAGATATTATTTATTTTGGTAAATATATTATAAAGAGCCATAATATAATACATTTTATTTTCAGAGTTCATGGAATTAAGTCATGGTAATAATCCTGTCGATATATTTGCAATAGGATTCGAAGAAATCGTTGATTTAAATGCTAGTAATATTGTAGCCACTAGCAGTGAAAACGCTAAAGCATGGGCTGATGAGTTACAAAAAGTTTTATCAAGAGATCACGAATATGTTTTACTTACTTATCAACAACTTGTGGGAGTATGTCTATATATTTTCATTCGACCAATGTATGTTGAGTTTTTAAGAGATGTTGCTGTAGATTCAGTCAAAACTGGTCTAGGAGGAGCAACTGGAAATAAAGGAGCCTGTGCGATTCGTTTTGTATTATATTCTACATCATTTTGTTTTGTTTGTGCTCATTTTGCTGCTGGACAATCACAGGTTAATGAAAGAAATGCTGATTATGCAGAAATAACTCGAAGAATCATTTTTCCAATGGGAAGAACATTGAATGCTCACGATTATGTATTTTGGTGTGGAGACTTTAATTACAGAGTTGATATAAATAAAGATGAAATGAAAGAAATGTTGAAAAAAAATGAAATTTCTCATCTCCTAAAATATGATCAACTTAATGTAAGTATCTTTGATAAAGTTATATGAATTATATTAGGAAATAATCAAACAGAACCCATATGGGCTGTAATATCTCTTTTATACACTTAAAATTATTTATCAAAATTTTTTAAACATTAAAACAAAATACGTTTATTTCTACGTAAAATACGTTTATCACTCCAAGCTAATTGTTAATATTTTAATAAGAAAAAATTTTATTTATGCAAGTAAGGAGCACAAATGTAGAATAGATTTTTTTTGTTAAGGAGAAATAAACCGTACATGTATTGGTTTGAAATGCTATAAATAAAAAAAACGTAACATAAATTATTATTGTACACCACTTAAGTGTACTTTCCATAATTCTAAGATGAAATGAATAAGCTGCCATAACTAGCATATATTCATATAGACTATAACATCGAAGTAATAGAAGAGAATGAGAGAGAGTGTTTCATATATATTCAATTCTTTGTCCTGATCGATTCAGTTCCTTGGTAGAAGATATCAACTGCTTAGAAATTTTGTATTCAATATAAGGGAATCTGCAAAGAATTCAAGGAGGGGGTTACTGGTTCCAGAACAAAAAAAACACTGTTTACGAATTTTTTTAGAGATATGGATAAAAATAATTAGTTAAAAACTTTTGTATATTATAAAGTATTGTTTAATTAACATTCTCTAATTTTTTATACGAAAAATATCGAGAAATAAGCCGGTGACGGAGCTTTTTCGAGAACATCTTTTAAAAAAGATGATTTATGATATCTAGCCGAAAATTACGTGTAATAGAGAAAACAAAAAATTTTCATTAAAGAATCACTAAAAACAACCTCTAACAATCTTGGATTATTATTGTTTTAATTTGAAAATTATTTTATAGTTATTTGAAGCAAAGAAAGCGATTTTTCACTAAAATTTTCATCCTTTTGTCTGTGAAAAACCTCTTAATATAAAAAAAATTATCATACTATTCGTAGGAGAGAGGTGTTGAGAATATAAATAATAAATTTGAAAAGATTTAATTGAGTATTTTTTGAGTTAGAATAGATACACACTTTAAAAAGAAGGTTTCGAGGAGAAAGCGTTTAAAGTTTTAAACTCTAAAAAAGTGACGAAAAAAATATTTTATTTTAACTTATGCCGAGTCTTCAATTTCAGCTCCATAGAGTACATTCTATGCAGCAATTTTATAAAATACTAACAATCTTGGATTATTATTGTTTTAAATTGAAAATTATTTTATAGTTATTTGAAGCAGGTATTTTATAGTTATTTGAAAGACCAAATATTTAAAAAATAGGAAAATGAATATTACGGATAGTTACATATTTTCACAAATATATCAAATAGATTAATTATAAAAGTGTGATACATATTGTATCAAAATATTCATATTACACAAGTATATAATTACTACAATTTTGAAATTTACTGTGACGGTAAACGTCCGGTTTGCGCTACCGTCTCGATAGCGCGGCTACCTGCGAGGGCAGCACCTACCGGCCCGGGTAAGTCGAAAACGGGAACTCGGTCCGAAATGGGAAGGAACGCGCGTGAAGAGAAAAGAACCAGTGGGAGAGTGTTTTTGACACCGGTAACAACGTGCAGGAGTCCAGGAGCACTAACACCAGAGTTGCGCAGCTACCCGAAAATCCCGAATAACGTGTATGAATCCAGGAGTGCTTCTAGCACCGGCAACGACGTGTGTGCGTGTGAATGCCACAAGGAGCATGAACGTTAGACGGTCTATAGTTCTTTGTTGTTGCTGCGAGTTCGAGTGGTTAACTGAGACGCCATCGGTAGCCAGTCACGAGGTTGCTGAATCCGTCCGACGGAAACAGTACGACGACAGAGAGAGCCTCGTATTTGAACGGAATAGTGGCAACCTGAGCCACGCGTTAAACTACGACATTAAACTACTCCCCTTGTTTTCGATAAACGAACGCGCGTAACATCTTAGCTCTCTCCTCACACCTGCGAATACAAGAAAATCGTGGCGAGCATGCAAACGAATATTGCAAACGAACGATTGTAAACGAAATGACGATACGTAAGATTGTCGCGCACATTGTATAAGCGTGGATGCGCGGGCCAAGTGCGTTGTAGATTACGTTATGAATAAACTAGTCTGTGCATGATTGAAATGTTAATCTATTGTTGCCTTTGCTATTAGTAAGTTGGTTGACTGACACCTTTCCTCTCCTGCTCTCTGGTTAGTTAACAAAATTGATTATTTCGATCTCGCCGCGCGCATTCCGATACGACTGTGCATCGGGCGAGACAAAAAAATTAAAACGGAATTCGCACCCCGTTCCAATAAATAATTAATAAATATTTCTGTAAATGTTAATGCTGTTCTATTTCTGAAAAATTATTATAGTTCTTAGTTCAATAACAATGTTCACGTAAAACGTTGCAGAAATACACTAGATATATGTAGGCCTAGTACTTGTTTCGGTACATTATACTCATGAATATATAGCTCACCATCCACTTTTAAAAGAATGCGGGAGGAGATTTTTTCATGCATCATAACTATTGAAATGACGGTAACAAAGGTATGAAAATTTCATTTCTAAAAATCCTCACGTACCTATAGCTCGAACTCATGACCTCTTGCACAGAAGTCTCAGCTCTTATTCACTGAGCCACAGTACTCAAACTTTTATATATTTACAGAATCATAGGTGTAATGTCTTGTCATTAAGCAAGCAATGAGGATTTCTTTTTAGCAACGAGTAGATCCTTTAACTCGTTGTGTCTCCTGATCTCAACCATCCTGGCCTGTATTCCCGCCACTATTTGATTATTCGGTTTAAACCCATACGTGCAAACCTTATGTATACAAGGTATTCGAAGATGAAATATCCATTTCTATTTGTTTATTAGTTGATTACACAGGCGGACAAGATTTAAGAATGTAAAAAACCTAAAAACGTGATAGTATATTTCCATAAGTTTTCGAAGCGCTTAATCGGAATCTGGCTTTAGAATGAATCCATTACTTAAGATTTTCGACCTTAATAATATTCCAACCTAAAAGTGTCAAAATTAGGATATCTTGTTATGTTTGAGGTTATACAACACCGGCAATAATTTTTTTCTAAAAACATCTGAAGTCGTGACAATGTAGCACTTTTACCTATTAAAACATATTTTTCGAATTAGAATTTTTTTTCGAGATATTGATTAAAGTACTTTAATAGTTTTGCATAAACATTAAAACAATCCAACCGTCAAATACATATATCTAGCATACTTCAGACTCTTAGATCCCGATTTTCGTAACTCCCGACCTCTGTAATCTGTAATGATTAAATTCCAGATCCTTGAACCCCGATTCTGTAATCCGATAATTCTGTAATTCCGTAAACTCCCGACTTCTGTAATCCGTAATTTTTATGTTATTGCCGAACTGCTAAAACACTTAACATTAATTAATAATATCTCGATAAAAAAAAATATCTCTTATTCATAAATTAGAGTTTGAAGGGCAAAAGTATGATGATTTCACTGGTTATTGAAGAAAAAAAATTTATTTGCAGTATTACATAACATCGAACGTAGCAAATAAGCAAATTTAGTGATGCTTGAATTCTGAAACCAGATTCGGATTCAGCGCATCAAATATCTTCGGAAATATACTATGGTGTTTCTGGATTTTTTTGGACATTAGACTGCGTTATTAATCATTTATTTGGATATCGGTCCGAATCAGATTTTCATATACGAGGGTGGGTCAATAAGTCCTTAGAAAATCCAAGAGATGACGCTTAAAGCATCCCAACTTAAGTTGCACCAGCAAGCGTCACTACTAAATAGAGTACTACCGAATGTTCAGCCAGATCCAACGAGTAGTTCCGTTTTTATAATCGGTCAAAGTGAACAACTTGTTTCTTGCTAACTATGGAAAAAAGTGAGTTCCAAGCGGTGATAAAACATTTCTATTTAAAAGACCTTACACTTTAAGAAATTAAAGCTGAGTTAGATGCAGTTCATGGTGTATCTGCCCCTGTATTTGTAACTGTTTACAATTGGGTAAATGAATTTAAACGTGATCGTAAATCGACTGCAGATGAACATCGTTCACGCCGTCATGTAGACGTGAGCTCTCCGGAAATGATCAATAAAATCCACTACATGATGTTAAGTACGCGAAATAGTTTAGGCCACAGGGGTTGGGTTTCAAAAGGTACAGTCATTTCGATTTTGAATGAGAAATTGAACATGTGAAAAATTTCGGCAAGATGAGGGCCGCGTTTGCTCTCAAGAAGGGACGCAATCGAGTGGTGATCGCTGAGGCCGTCTTGGCGCGCATCTACCGTGATTTGGACGACTTTTTGCATCGACTCATAATCACAAATAGCTATTTTAAGGAATTTCTAAAATTTTTTTTTGATGACTTAAAAAAAACTTGAAGGACGCCTGAAAAAGTGTATCGAGCTAAAAGGAGGTTATGTTAAAAAGTAAAAAAAAATCTACCAAAAAAAAAATTGTTTTTCTATCTTTTTGTAAGGACTTATTGGCCCACCTTCGTATTATTCTCAGATCCTGATGTGTATATGTACGAGGGTGGTCCGATAAGTACTTAGCCTACAAAAGAAAAATGAAAATTTTGGAAAAGTGGCGTTTTATTTTTCAACATAGTCTCCTTTTAATTTGATACATTTAGCCCAGCGATGCTCCAACTTCTTTAACCCGTCTGAAAAATACGTTTCCTCGAGGTCTAAAAAGTAGGCCTCCGTGGCAGCGATTCAAATTTCTCATTCCACTCAAATTTCTGCGCGGTGAGTGACTTTTTCAAGTTTGGAAACAAAAAGAAGTTGCACGGGGCTAAATCTGGAGAATACGGTGGATGGGGCAGCAGTTCGTAGCCTAATTGGACCAATTTGGCTATGGCGACGGCGGAGGTGTGAGCCGGTGCGTTGTCATGGTGGAAGAGCACTTTTTTCTTCGCCGAATGGGGCCGTTTTTTCTGCAATTCGACGTCGAATCGGCCCAATTATTCGGCATAG